GAACTGATAAATTAGAACCTCGAGCTAGGAAGGCCATATTTGTAGGATTCAAGCGTGGTGTCAAGGGATACAAGCTTTGGGATCCAGTTGATAAGAAGATTGTGCTGAGTAGGGACGTCACGTTTGATGAAGCTTCTATCTTGAAGCTTCCCAGCTCTCATCAGGTGGAGAGCGACCCGACGGAGGAGATATCGCAGGTGGTGGAGATCGATGCAGCTCCACATTGTCCAGATGGTACAGTATCCATGCAGGTGCCGACTGAGGTGACGCTAGGCGAGCACGACGGTGACACGGAGGATATGAGTACAAATGTGCAGGATCAAGAACCGACGGTTCAAGATCAGGATTCTATTGCGGTTCGGAGACAGAGGAGAAACATACAGATGCCAGCATGGTATACCGACACAGTTGCGTATGCACTTCCGGTAGAGAGTATCGATGAGTTAGTGCCTACTACATTCAGAGAGGCCGAGCAGAGTTCAGAGGTTGATTCGTGGCAGGTGGCTATGCAAGAGGAGATGGAATCTCTTCATAAGAACGATACATGGGAGCTTGTTGAGCTTCCAAAGGGACGGAAGGCAATTGGTTGCAAGTGGGTATACACGAAGAAGGAGGGCATTGAAGGCACTCCGTTGAGATTCAAGGCTAGGTTGGTTGCGAAGGGCTATGCACAGGAGGAAGGAATAGATTATAATGAGGTTTTCTCTCCGGTGGTGAAGCATTCTTCGATTCGGATTTTGCTAGCTTTAGTGGCACAGTATGGTTTGGAGTTAGATCAGTTGGATGTGAAGACAGCATTTCTTCATGGTGATCTTGATGAAGAAATATATATGACTCAGCCATTGGGATTCCGAGCTGCAGGGAAAGATAAGTTAGTTTGCAGATTAAAGAAATCGCTATACGGTTTGAAGCAGTCTCCTCGACAGTGATATAGACGATTTGATGGTTTTATGCTTGGTCATTCGTACACTCGGAGCCAGTTTGATCCTTGCGTATATTTTCGTAAGTTGAAAGGAGGTGCATACATTTATTTATTACTCTATGTCGATGACATGTTGGTTGCCTCTATTTCCAGGTCGGCTATAGATGAGTTGAAAGTTCAACTTTCAAATGAGTTTGAGATGAAGGACTTGGGTGAGGCCAAACGTATTTTGGGAATGGAGATCGACAGAGACAAGAAGAATGGCATAATTTGTTTGACACGGGTGGCTTATTTGAAGAAGGTTCTACAGCGATTCCATGTTAGCATGGATACGAAGCCAGTTAGTGTACCATTGGGAGCCCATTTGAAGCTTTCAGCTGGTCTTTTACCGAAGTCAGTTGAAGATAGAGAGTTGATGTCGAAGATTCTATATGCGAGTGCGGTTGGGAGCTTGATGTACGCGATGGTATGTACGAGGCCAGATTTATCACAGGCGGTAAGCATGGTATCAAGATACATGCACGATCCAGGAGTGGGTCATTGGGAAGCCGTGAAATAGATTTTGAGGTACATTCGAGGTACGCTCAATATTGGTTTAGCTTATGAGTGGGACACTACAAGTGGGCAGCTATGCATTGGCTATGTTGATTCGGATTATGCCGGGGTTTTGGATAAGCGCCGGTCTACGACAGGGTATGTGTTCACTTTGACCCGTGCGCCGGTGTGTTGGAGATGCACCTTACAGTCGACGGTAGCTTTGTCTACGATGGAGGCAGAGTATATGGCAGTTACGGAGGCTGTGAAGGAGGCTATTTGGCTTCGAGGACTTTTGGAGGAACTTGGTATATCGCAGAGGTCCGTCACTATTCATTATGATAGCATGAGTGCTATCTATTTGGCGAAGAATCAGGTTTTTTATGCGCGAACGAAGTACATTGACGTTCGTTATCACTTCGTTCGGAATGTTCTTGAAGATGGCGATGTGGAGATTGTGAAGGTCCACACGAAGGATAATCCGGCGGATATGCTCACTAAGGTGGTTCCGAGCAACAAGTTTGGTCATTGTTGAAACTTGTTACACATTCATGATTGTTGAGGCCGTTGGCGGCCATTTTGGTGAACTACGTTCGGGTTGATTCCTTGGGCAAGAGGATACATAGGCAGTCTTTCAGATGCAACCGGTTTGGATTAGTTGATGGGGTGAGATTGTTTGGACTCTCGTTCGGGTTCTCGACTTATTGTGGATTGAGTTCGTACTGGACATAACAAGTGGGATATTTGGATGCTTTGGTGTCGGCTCAGTTTTGAAAAAACTTCACCGAGGTGGAGAATTATGCAGGTGGGGACCACGAGCTGAACAATACTCGTGTGATGAAGCCGTGTGAATGAAGAGCCAGCGGACAAAAATCGCAGCGGACAAAACCCAAGCCCACGCGGAAACCCAAGGCCCACCCGATAGCTCATATATATATCATCAACTTTGATTTTTAGGGTAGCAGGCAGAGGGGAATCTTTTGCGAAAAAAGGACCTACGGCTGCGGAACAAAAGCAAAAAGCAGAAGAAAATTTTGTGGCGGCTGCTGCAGAAGAAGAACACAGAATTCAAGAGGAGTTTTTGTGTGTATACTTTTGTGCTTTTGTAGAGAGATATTGTGAGGGATCTGAGAGTTTGTTTGAGGGTTTTAGTTGTGAGTGATTGTAAACCCTAGTTGTATTCTCTCCCTCTATTAGTAGATCTCCCCCTCCTTGCCCCGTGGACGTAGGCAATTTGCCGAACTACGTAAAAATTGGTTGTACTACTATTTGTGTGATTTGTAATAGCTTTTTAGGTTCCCTCGACACGCAGTCCTAGAGCTGACGAGAGGAAGAGCTAATATCCCACTTTGATGGGATATTAGGCTTCAGATTCTTGTTCCCTTTGAAAAACAAGAATTCTTATTGCGACCTGACTCTCTTGTTGTGCTACCGAAGTACTGCCGAAATTTTCGCTGCGCGCAACAGTGTATACTTAATGATCGTTTTAGGAGATACTCCAGCCATGTTCACATTAATCTACTCAAAAGCTTATATATCTGTTGTATTTGCAGGTTATGAATCTGATAGGGGACGTCAAAGAAAAAGTTGCTATAATGGTGGATGATATGATTGATATTGCTGGTTAAGTTACTTAGTTTTCCCCTTTCCCCCCCCCCCCTTCTCTTTTCCCTTTGTTATACAAATTCCACCATCATGCCTATTATCTGTAGACCATATTTTGTGCCGTAGTTCATGCTTCAGTCCACTGTGCTCTGTGGCGATTTAAATTTACAATGTCTTGATTGCAGTTACTTATGTAAGGCACCAAGGAAGTTATCTTTGTAGCATGCAATTGTATGACCATTTAAGCGTCAATTTTATATTCTTTATTTTTGGCTTTTATTTTATTTACTTAGTTTTTGTAACAGGTTAAGTGAGAGTAAAATTGGCGCTTACATGGTCATACAATTGCATTTGTTTGTTTTGAGTATTTTAAGCTCGTGATACCTTTGCAGCCTATTGCACCATATAAGAGACCAGCGCTAAAGAAAGGCTATTTGTTTCCTCCAGATAAGAAACCTGCACGTCTACCGGTAAGGCTGGTTAATTTTTATTACTTTTTTTGCTATGTGAAGTGTTTGCAGATTTGACTTTGTGTATGATCGGGTGGCTGGTCAATTTGATGAAGTTAGACTGTTAGAGTAGTATTGCAAATGCGTGTTATACACATCTCATAGTTACTTCTGTCCCGAACTAGGATCCGATGAATTTCTCAATGCCTTTCTCTATTTTTTGCGAAAGGGAAAGTAGCATCCTCAATGTTTCATTTCTGAATTTTATTTGTGAATGGCTGTCATTCTTTGATCATCTGTCTTGGTTGCATACTGATTTGAAATTAGTGTTAAGTAACATTGAAAATATAAAGCACACATGTTCTACTTTGTACTTACCAAAGTTCTTAAGTTGATATGGCTGATAGGAGAAGTTTCATGTTTGGTTATGAGATATCCTGAATTCTAAATCATATGGGGAGACTGCCAATAGTGAAGTAAGAAAGGAAATTTTCAAAGAAACCCCATGTAGGTAATTTGGAATGTTCAAGCTATAGTTTTTGCTTTAAGTGATGAGTATGCACTTTCTATTTTGTTTCATGAAAGGGGTTAATCAATCAATGTCTTATGGATCTTTTCCCTTATTCTTAATCATTTTTAACTGATGTTTCAGGGATTTCATTTATGTGTCGGTTCTGGTGGGGTAAGGCAAACCCCAGAATGGCACATGGAGCAAGGCATAGAGGTGTGCAGATCTTGTCATATCTTTTATCACATTATAGCATGCATGCTACTCTTGGATATCTTCTTTCTATTTTTGTGAATTTCCATATTCTAGAGAGGAAAATTAATTGTATTATACATTAATTACAATATTTATCTCATTATCAAGCTTGAATCATGTTCAATTAACTGCATTTTACACCTTAAGTTCCTCATTTTCAGGTATTCCATGTAGCAACCGAAACAATATTCAAAATAACCCATGTATGGTAACTTTCAACAATTTTTTGTTATTCTTTCTATTTTCCCCCTTGATTTGCTTGGATTCTGAAGGGAATTCAGTTTTAATTCAATGTCAGCTTGGAGTTTATGTTTACACTGCTGTGTTCAAAGGACCCTCACAAATCCTATGTGCCTTGATTACTCTATAGGAAATTCAGTTCTTCATTTGTGTTCATTTTGTAAAATTTCATTAATTTTGCAGGAAACACACAGGCTTATATTGGCAATCCTGGGAACGTGCAACAATATACATGTATGTTTATTCTAGCAATTTTTAAATCATTCTTCCCATTTTTTTGTTTTCCTTGGATTATAAAGTAAAAAAATCAACTTCAGCCTCACGGTTCAGCGAAAATGAAACGTATTCATGTCGAAAATTTTCGTTCTGTGAAATTCTTTGATTATTGCAGGCAACACATCACCTCAGCTTGTTGCCAACATGATTATATTTTTATGTTTTCTTTTATGACATTGTTCAATGACTTCTGCAAATGGTAGTCATGTCTTCAGGTGAATGTGACGGGCAATCCATCCCAAGGTAGCGCAAAAGGCGAGAACTGAATTTCTCTTCCAGGACCTGATACTGTCCATCTGAAAGTGTTGACAACACATCATCAGAGACAAAAAGGATAAAGAATGCCATCCATAAGTTGCGGAAGCAATTAACTGAAACAAAGTGAAACTTAAAATGATGCAGTAGTTGGTTAGTGCCTGGGACCTGTATTTTGTTGTCAGGTGATGGAGGAGAACAAGCATCTCCAGCTTTGCTAGCTCATTCCCAGGGCATGAGTAGGTCCCACTCCCGAACAGCAGGAAAGTGTTAGGCTTTGGAGCAACCTGAAAGAAAAGAAGGGGATCAAATCAATGGAACAGGTTTGTACAGATCAGGGGACGTTCGAAGCATTCACAATTCTTACATCAAATCTTGAAGGATCAAACTTGTCAGGGTGATGGAAGTATTCTTCACTGTGATGAATATTTCTAAACAATGGCAGGGCCTTCCATCCTTTTGGTATCAGATAGCCTGACAAATGAAGAAGGCTAAGACAACATGATGTTACTGCTTGGAGGATGGTGTGGTTTTCGCTGAGGAACTTGACAATCCATGTTAGAACACTTGCGCTGGTGTCACGAGCAGCAAAGAGGACACCAATGATGTTGTCAGTGATTTGATCATCATCGAGATTGTTGGTTTGCATGAAATTATATGATACCTCTCTTTTGAAATTACTCAACAGATAGAGATATTGAGTGATCATTATGTATGTATATGTTTTGTCTAATATCATATATTAAGTAATCATTGTGTATGTATAAATAATATTGGATATTGTTTGAGACATTTTTGTGTATGTATATGTTTTCGATTTCATTGTGAGATATTGAGAAATCATTTGTAATACCCCAACCCTTGAGAGGGTGATGTGATTAGTATTGATAGATTTGATTGGAATACTCATACCATCAAGATGCATCTTCTTTTCGGGAACCCAACTCTTAGAAACTCCAAATTTAAGCGTGCTTGGCCTGGAGAAATTCTAGGATGGGTGACCCCCTGGGAAGTTTTCCAGGGAGCGCGTGAGTGAGGACAAAACGTGTTGAAAAGATATGTGATGGTTTGTGAGGCCAGTCCATCAGATCTAGTAGCGTACTGACTTCGGGATTCCGGGGCGGCGCGTTACAAATGGTATCAGAGCCAAGCCAACCGGAATTGTGAGAGCTAAGTGCTATGCGACGCAAAGTCCTACGTCGAGAGGACGGGAGCCACCTCTTGAGGCCGTAGGAGCCACCTCTAGAATCTCACACGGATAGTACGGTCTTGGATGATATGGTTTGGCACAACGAGGACGTTGTGAGTTTAAGTGGGGGAGTATGTAATACCCCAACCCTTGAGAGGGTGATGTTATTAGTATTGATAGATTTGATTGGAATACTCATACCACCAAGATGCATCTTCTTTTCGGGAACCCAACTCTTAGAAACTCTAAATTTAAGCATGCTTGGCCTGGAGAAATTCTAGGATGGGTGACCCCCTAGGAAGTTTTCCAGGGAGCGCGTGAGTGAGGACAAAACGTGCTGAAAAGACATGTGATGGTTTGTGAGGCCAGTCCATCAGATCTAGTAGCGTACTGACTCCGGGATTCCGGGGCGGGGCGTTACAGTTTTGTAATACCCAACCCTTGAAAGGGTGATGTGATTAGTATTGATAGATTTGATTGGAATACTCATACCACCAAGATGCATCTTCTTTTCGGGAACCTAACTCTTAGAAACTCCAAAGTTAAGCATGCTTGGCCTGGAGAAATTCTAGGATGGGTGACCTCCTGGGAAGTTTTTCAGGGAGCGCGTGAGTGAGGACAAATCGTGCGGAAAAGACATGTGGTGATTTGTGAGGCCAGTCCATCAGAGCTAATAGCATACCGACTCCGGGTTTCCGGGACGGGGCTTTACAAATGGTATCAGAGCCAAGCCAACCGGAATTGTGAGAGCTAAGTGCTATGCGGCGCAAAGTGCTACGTCGAGAGGACGGGAGCCACCTCTTGAGGCCGTAGGAGCCACCTCTAGATTCTCACACAGATGGTACGGTCTTGGATGATATGATTTGGCACAACGAGGACGTTGTGAGTTTAAGTAGGGGAGTTTGTAATACCCCAACCCTTGAAAGGGTGATGTGATTAGTATTGATAGATTTGATTGGAATACTTATACCACAAAGATGCATCTTCTTTTCGAGAACCTAACTCTTAGAAACTCCAAAGTTAAGCGTGCTTGGCCTGGAGAAATTCTAGGATGGGTGACCTCCTGGGAAGTTTTCAATGGAGCGCGTGAGTGAGGACAAATCGTGCTGAAAAGACATGTGGTGATTAGTGAGGCCAGTCCATCAGATCTAATAGCGTACCGACTCCGGATTTCCAGGACGGGGCGTTACATCATTGTGTGAGATGTGTATATTAAATATAAGCAGGTAGATAAATAAAACAGCCAAAATTAAAAAAATATTAAAAATCAAAAGGCCAAACGGTTTGAATTGTTTGGACAGATTTTGTCCAAACGGTTAAAACCGTTTGGATAGATTTTTGTCCAAACGGTTTCAACCGTTTGGACAAAAATCTGTACAAACGGTTTCAACCGTTTGGACAGTTTTTACATTCCAAAGGGTTACAACTGTTTGGGCGACCGTTGGGGAAAACTCATCCCCAACGGCTTTAGCCCAAACGGATTTTTTCCTCGCCCAAACGGTTGTAACCGTTTGGGAGGGGGTTTTCCCAAATGGTTCCAACCGTTTGGGCTATCCTGTTTTGTACTAGTGACGCAACGTTGCAGTATATACAGTCTAAGAATTAGTGAACCTGATTCTCCATCTAAGTACAGGATTTAAATTGTGAACTATTGCTTCCTCTTTATAGTATCCATGGATACTGATCCTGACCTACGTGCTGCAGCATATATCACCCCACATGCTACAACTTCAATCTTGAAACGGACACACAAGGTTGTCCTCAGACTACACAAAAGAAAAGAGAAAGATCCAAGTTATCTGTTGACACTGAAAAATAAGGCTGAAGAGTGCAAAACATGACAAAGGAGAAGTTCTCATAAAGGAAAATTTCATAGAAGTTTATGTATAGGGGTACTCAAAAACATGAAAAATGGATAGCCTGCAAGTTATGCAAATATTGCAATGTATTGAATCTCTTAAGCTTATTCCATACGTCTATATCAAAAAAATACAAAAAAGGGGATACACCATTGTAAATTTCATTTGTAGATTTTATTTTGTGAAGATTCTCCTAAGAAGCATTACTTCGGTTTTACCTAGTAAATGATAATGCCAACCTATTCAGCTAAATTTGGCCGAGTTCATCCACAAAACGAGTCAAAATCAATTGTGAAAGCATCTTTAAAAGTCACCTGCCATGTTAGTGTTGTGCGCAGCGAAAATTTCGGCAGCACCTCTGGTGCGTAAGGTGCACAACAAGAGATTAGATCGTAAGAATTCCTGTCTCACCAAGGAAACAAGAATCTGAAGCGGATATCTCAATAAAGTGAGATATCGGCTCTTCCTCTCATCAGTTCTAGGACTGACCTATCGAGGGATCCTACAAGCTATTACAAATCACGGCAAGAACACAACTTTTACGTGGTTCGGCAAATAGCCTACGTTCACGGGGCAAGGAGGGGGGAGATCTACTATTAGAGGGAGAGATACAACTAGGGTTTACAATCACTCAATCTAAGCCCTCACATAAACTCTCAGATCCCTCACACAAAATATTCTCTCAAAGAAAGACACAGCCGTCAGAACTTTTTCTCTGTAGTCGCACACAAATCAGCTACTTTTCAATCTCTGTCTGCTCTCTAACTTTTCTTCTTGCACTCAGCCACAACCCCTTGATTGATTTTGGAATCAGCCGCAAAATCACAAAACAAATCCTCTGCAACACGAAAACCTAGAGAAAACTAGTTATTTATAGGAACAAATCGGGTAATAGGGTGGGCTTGTGATTTATCCGCTGGGCTTGCATTCTTTTATCCGCTGGCTTCATTCACATGATCCTCATTCACGTGATGGCTTCATGCATGTGATGACCGTGGCCCCCACATTCACAATTCTCCACATCGGCGAAGTTTTCTCAAAACCGAGCTGACACCAACCAAAACAAATGCCTCACTTGTTATGTCCAGTACGAAGTAAAATAATTCACGACAACGAACTCACTCCACAACAAATCGAGACCCAAACGAGAATGCGAACACTCTCCAAATATCGGTATCTACTCACTAAATCGATCTCACCCCCATCAAAATCCAACCCGGCTGCATCATAAAGACTGCCTATGTATCCTCTTGCCCAAGGAATCAGGCCGAACGTAGTTCACCCAAATGGCCTCCAAAGGCCTCAACACCGAAGAATGTTCAAAAGTTCCAAACAATGATCAAACTTAACACCTGAAACAACTTTGGTCAACATATCTGTAGGGTTGTCCTTCGTGTGGATCTTCTCTAATATGACATCTCCTTCATCCAAAACGTCACGAACAAAATGGAATCTGACATCTATGTGCTTCGTGCGCACATGATAAACCTAGTTCTTCACCAAATAGATAGCTGACATGCTATCACAATATACCCGAAGGGTCTCCTGTGCAATCCCCAAGTTCTCTAATAATCCCTGCAACCATAAAGCCTCCTTCACAGCTTCAGTCAACGTCATATACTCTGCCTCCGTAGTGGAGAGAGCCATTGTAGACTGAAGTGTGCATCTCCAACACACCGGTGCTCCTACTAGTGTAAACACATATCCGCTAGTAGACCGGCGCTTGTCCAGATCCCCCGCATAATCAGAATCCACGTAACCAATACAATCATGCCCATTCTTCCCATTCTTCTCGAACACCAAACCAACATCCACGGTACCTTTAATATACCGTAGAATCCACTTCACAGCCTCCCAATGACCCTTCCCTGGGTTGTGCATGTACCTAGATACCATGCTCACGGTCTATGATAAATCTGGCCTTGTACACACCATCGCATACATCAAGCTACCCACAGCATTGGCATATGGAACTTTGGACATGTATTCCCGGTTCTCAACTGAAACAGGTGACATATTAGCTGATAGCTTAAAGTGGGGAGCTAATGGAGTACTCACCGCCTTGGCATTACCATCATAACTGAATTTCTTCAGCATCTTCTGCAAGTAACTCCTCTGTGTCAACTTCAACCTCCCCTTCACCCCGTCTCTCTCAATCTCCATACCCAATATCTTCTTTGCCTCTCCAAGATCCTTCATCTCAAACTCGGATGATAGATCCTCTTTCAGCTTTCGAATAGCCGAAGAATTCCTGGAAGCAATAAGCATATCGTCAACATATAAAAGCAAATATATGTGCTCATCATTCTGTAGCTTGTGAATGTAAACACACGGGTCATATGGGCTCCTCGTGTACCCTCGGCCAATCATAAAGCCGTCGAATCTCTTGTACCATTGTCGCGGCGATTGCTTCAATCCGTAAAGAGACTTCTTCAGCTTGCATATCAATTCTTCCTTTCCTGCAGCTTTGAACCCCATAGGTTGTGTCATGTGACCTCCTCTTCTAAATCTCCATGTAGAAAGGCTGTGTTCACATCCATCTGGAGCAAATCCAAATCCAGTTATGCCACCAATGCTAATAAAATACGAATCGACGAATGCTTCACAACAGGTAAAAATACCTTGTTGTAATCAATGCC